AAAAAAAAAAAAAAGTAAAATAAAATAGAAAAAAAATAAAACAAAATAAAATCAAATAAGAGAAATATGACAGAAAGAAGATAACAGCTAGTTTTTCCTGTTGCCTTTGTCTCTAAACAAGCAACTTCTTCTGCCATCTAAGAAAAAAAAAACAAAGGCATTCCTTAAAAGAATTACTGAAAAACGATACCATAACTGTATATGGAACGTGTGTGTGTGTTTGCTTGTTTGTGTTTCTGTGCCTCAGACAACGGCAATACCACCACCACCATCAACAACAACAACAAAAAAACAACAACAAAAACTGCGCCTAACGCGGATAATAGCAGCAGATGTGGTCGTCAGTTAAGAAGTATAATCATCAAACGGATGAAGAGCACACAGTTTCCACTTCAATTCTGATATAAAGAAAAATTAATTGTGGAAAAAATTATATGAATCTTCAATCAACAACGGTTAACAAAAAATGAGCAGCAGCAGCCACAGCAGCAGGAATAGGAGCGGCAGCAGTAACAGCAGTAATAGCAGCAGTATCAGCGGCAGAGGCAGCAGCAGCAGCAACAGCAGCAACAACAACAACAGCGACGGCTGCAGTGTCAACAACAGCAGAAACAGATACAACAACAGCAATTAACAGTCATCATCAGCAACAGCAAAAATAACAACAACAACAACAACAACAACAATCAAAACGACAAAAATAATAGTGTTTGTCGAAAAATTATTGTTACTGGATTGGAAATTTTCAATTTCCTTTCCCGTTTTTCTAACTCTCCTCTCTCTGCAGCCTCTCCCTTCCGCTTCAACTTTCTATTCCCTTTTTCCCTTCTCCCACCTATAGCAAGAAACATTCCTCCTGAGAAAAGACATATCAAGCTGAACAAAAACAACAACGGAATAAAAAATAAAGAAAATAAAAAGTGCAGTTTTTTTTCCATTTTTTCTAGACATGTTTTTTTTTCTCCTGCCGCAAACAACACTTGAAATAAGGTGACAAAAAAACCCAAAAGCAATAAAAATGTAAAAATGTTGCAACAAAAAATACCAGTGCAAAAAAAACCGGAAAAGTTGATTCAACTGTCAAAGCAAAAATAAATGAAAAAAAAAATTAAAATCAAAAACGAAATCCTAAGTAAATAACAAAAAAAAATCTAATCACCTTTAAGAATCGCTTATGCTTCAAAGTCAATCCGCATTTCTTTCTCCCTCCCTCCCCTTCTGCATCATCTCTCTATCTGTCATCCATGATGACCATAATTTGCAACAGGTAAAAACATCACACAGCATTGTTCAATCTTCTTTTTTATTCCTGCGTTGTCATTATTATTGTAGTAGTTGTTGTCGTTTTCTTTTTTCTTTTTTTTCTTCTTACTGATTTGAAAATCTGCAAATGACTTGAAAAAAAACCTCCCTTTTCCCTTCCCTCACTTCACTATAATATCTGACTGCACGCCAATAGAAATCAGTTATGAGTAATCTTCTCAGGCAACTAACGGTTAAAAAACCAACTGACACCCAACAACAACAACAACAACAACAACAACCCTCCAGACCTCTAAAATTAATTGTTCCCTATCAGTGTGCAACCAAAATCGTGGCGAAGAACTAAAATTTGAAAAAAAAAAAAAAAACGTGGGAAAAAAGAAAAGATTTTTTTTGAACTCATTGTCATCATCACTTGTTGACAGTATACTTCAATCACTGCCATTGTCAACATCATGAAAGTACCACAGTTATCATCATAAACATCATTTCTTATATTTTCCATTTGTTATCCTCATTTAGCAAAATTTTTTTGCTATTAATTTAAACTTCTACAATTACAAAAAACTGAAAAAGTTTTAGACAGATCAACGCAATCTGTTTTAAAAACTTTCAAGAAAAGAAAAGTAACAATGAAGAAATTAATAATATTAATTAAAAAACAGTAATTACAACAATAACACTAATAATCCGAACACAAACAAATAACTGCAGCAATAACAAACAAATAATGCCACTAATAAACCTGTCTTCGGTTAAGCGCACTTCAATACAGATGATGCTCTTCAGAGCTTTCCCTCATCGTTTTCTCAGTTTTACTGAACCAATCCCATTGAACGACTGAACGATGCGAACAGTTACAGAAGAGAAAAAAGCCAAAAGCAAAAAGAAAATAAACAAAAAAAAAAATTCTTGAAAAAATATCCACGTCCAAAATTTGTTTGAACGAAGCCCTTCACTCATTCAATCAATTCGTTTCTATACAGTAAACAAAGGGACAGGGGACAGAGACGGGGACAGGTGGGGAAAGAGAAACTCGGGAAAGCAAGCGGTAACAAAATGAATCATGAAGCACCAAAGGAAAAACAGCGAAAATAGCTCCATTTGAAGTGTACTTTTGTTCCTCCGTCGTCTCCGTCTCCATCTTCTTTTCCTTTTTTTTCTTCAGC